GAAAACCAGTGATTTGTCAGTTTTTAGTTTGTTTTATCTTCTGGAGGTGGTTATTATTGGTGTGGCATCGGAGGTAGTACACGGAGATCGGGGGATGTGTACAGGTTCATTGTTTTTTGTCGGACTTATACATTCTGAACTGGCGTTTCTATTTTACACGGACGCACACAATAATGAGCAATGACAGCTTTATACTATTTTGTGTATGCATCCTGATTCGTGTGACTGGAATGCTTTTTCGGTAGTTAGAAGCGTGTCGCTATGATGAAAAAAAACTTGTCTTTGAACTTATCGGCTTCATAGGGTGCTACTCTTACAGGGGCAAGTTAGTACCCGTGTGTTTAAACGGTGTCGGATGTGCAGGGGACACACACGCAGTTATCGTTGTTTTGGAAGAAACACGGAGAACACAGCACTGAACAGGGAGGTGAGGTTACAGCATAATGTCATCAAAACCAAGAATGTTTTCCTACGAGATACATGAGAGAAACACAACAATGAAATGTTATACGAGCTAAATATCGTGTAATACATTGTTGGGGACGTGTAGAAGCCGACTTTATACTGGATTACACACACGGCTGCAAGTGCGGCATTACACCAATACCGAATTCGAGCTGGGTTGATTGTATTTGCTGACCAGGTCTATTTCACTCTCTGCACACAGTACGCATGCGCAGTACAGTTGAAGGAAAGTCAATGGAACACTATTGTGGCGTTCAAGAAATTTCCAGTCTTACGATAAGAAGGTAAAAATGTTGCTAGAACACTGCAGCGAAACGGAATCCATCACTAATACAGACGCAAAATACCATGCCCATTATATATAATTTGATCTTGTAAGCTATTGTACCCAACACTACTAGTATGCTTTCTCACACCAAATCATATACTAGTAATAATTCATCACCCGTCCTACTCAATTCATTCTGACACATCCCATCCTGCCCTGCCCTAACTAATCCCACCCTGACGTACTATGTCCTACCCTATCACACCCACTCCCCGTCCTACTCAATTCATTTTGACACATCCCAACCTGCCCTGCTCCAACTAATGTCCTACCCTATTCCATTCCCACTCTTTCCCGTCCTACTCAATTCATTCTGACACATCCCACTCTGACATACCATGTCCTACCCTATCCCATTCCCACTCTTTCCCGTCCTACTCAATTCATTCTGACACATCCCAACCTGTCCTGCCCTAACTAATCCCACTCTGACATACCATGTCCTACCCTATTCTATTCCCACTCTCTCCCGCCCTACCCAATTCATTCTGACACATCTCAACCTGCCCTGCTCCAACTAATTACACTCTGACATACCATGTCCTACCCTATCCCATTCCCACTCATTCCTGTCCTACGCAATTCATTCTGACACATCCCAACCCGCCCTGCCCTAACTAATCCCACTCTGACATACCATGTCCTACCCTTTCACACCAACTTCCGGTCCTACTCAATTCATTCTGACACATCCCATCCTGCCATGCCCTAACTAATCCCACCCTGACATACCATGTCCTACCTTATCACACCAACTCCCGGTCCTACTCAATTCACTCTGACACATCCCATCCTGCCCTGTCCTAACTAATCCCACCCTGACATACCATGTCCTACCCTATCACACCAATTCCCGGTCCTACTCAATTCATTCTGACACATCCCAACCTGCCCTGCCCTAACTAATCCCACCCTGACATACCATGTCCTACCCTATAACACCAACTCCCGGTTCTACT